TACCGTTCATTATTTTGCATGAATTATTCGGCAAAATGCACCGTACAACATCATGTTACATATAATAATGGCGCATAAGTTTCTATGACTTCAGCAACTCAATTTCATACAAATCGATCTCTATTTTACCCCAAACTTAATGCTTGAAACTAACTCGTATGCACTACCAACCAGTGTGAATAAATATATAAAAACTGGTTTATCTTCAATCAGAAAACTAAGTCTAGTGCGTGTCCACCACGTGTGCACTCACGTTTATAGAACTATCGTCAGATATCTGTTCGAAATTCACATAATTATCACTATTTGCACGTAATAAAAAATTTTTGACAACAACTCATATATTTTAGTGATATTATTAATGTTCTGTTTAAAACACAGAAAACTAACTGAAATACCAGTCGGAATTCTTCCTCTCCACATTTATACTTCTGTTTCGTCAGCTAGCCAACCAATGCAGGTGCAATCGGAAATCAAATCATACGGACCGCCTACTTGCATAAATGTTGACTGGCTTTCAAGACTGAACCAAAAATAATACTAACATCAACATTGATACAATATTGATGTTCCTCTACTTCTAACCACAAAATACTTATACCGACTGGTAGATCCTTTTCGATTGTTTTGTATATGAAAAGCCCTTTATGTATACACTTGTAACATATTCCTCTTTGTTCCCCCAGATGTACACTTTGTCAGTCTTTCTAATTCGATTTGGGTTGAATCCCTTTGTATTGCATTGTAGTTTTTGTTTTCCTTACATTGTCTTGATTTTAAATTGGCGATAGCGCGTATCTAAACTACCTAAACAGTTATTCTTCATTTCAAATCTAGTTTGGAAACTACGCAGCCTATAAGTTATTTTATTAACCAGCGGCTATCACTGTACATCTTCATATAACTTGTTTAAATATCTATTTGCTAAATCATTCTTCATTATCGTAATCCCACCTTCTTTAGCTTCTAAATAATCTTCACATGGATTTTCAATTTAAGCGTGTCGAGAATCAAACCGAAATACATATGAATTCGCTTGTGTTTTCCGACCAGTTACTGCATCCTTCTTTTTGATTTATCCGTCATTTCACGGATAACCGAAGGTTTTTATGATTTCCCTGGTAACCGGCGCGCGACAATTTCATTCGATTTGGTTTCCAACCGATGTCACGTTGGTTCTGATGGGAAAGTAGTGAAGTGGTATTGGTTCCTAAGCACGCGATTGCTTGAATCCAAGTATATGATTACCTAAAAGATTTACACCCAATATATAACATCTAGAGAAGATCAAAGATGACGAACATGGGAAAAATTAATCGGTATGGCATAACGCAGTCTTGTAGGCATGGTCATTTCCTGTAGTTTGTTCCCATTCGCATGAAATATATTATTCAGATGTGTTTGTGGCGATACTAGTGGGTGCTTTGATGTCCTGGTGTAAGAGGATAGTTGCTTTTGCTCATCTTCACATTTCCACAAAGTTGTTCTGTTAAGGGTTTGTAGTGTCATCGAACTCTAACCACACAACCTTTGAAGCCGAGCATATAATTACTGAAAAGATTTATATTTAACGATTGACACGAAGTGAGGGTTAACTATGAAAAACGAGAACACTAATTCAGTTCAATCGGATGGCATGTCTCAGCCTTGAAGGATTGGTCATTCTTATGTAAATATATTGTTCTACTTCAGACTTAGTGTGTTCTCCGTCATATATTATTAAATGTTACGATACAGTGAGTCAGTGAGGTTCTTTTGACCGAATAAACCTCGGCTCTGGAGGTTCTGATCTCCTATTCCGGTCGTCAGATGTACCAATTTTGTCTGCGGCGTCATGTCGGAGTGAGATGAGAACTGCTTGCACCTGTTATGGATGCTAAAATGAGAAAACTTGTATGAGGAAGCCATCGTCGTAAGCTTATTGACCAATAACCTACTGCATGCGTGGCAACATTTTGGTTGCTGAACAGCGTTGCAACCCGATATTTTGAAAGATCTGGCCTGACGTTTGTTGATCGATTAGGTCTCTCAGTTTAGGGCTAGTGTTTTCCTGGTGTGATAAGATTTGGAAATATCACCAGTAAACATACTAGGTATAACGTACGTGATAAAATCGCGTGGCAGTGCCCTTACTACTGCAAGGGTTCGCCCACGTAAGTGCGTCACGCTGTTTTCAAGGGCGTTGGCTTGTTCTTAGTTCAACCACGCTTCGATATCATCCGGCCAGAATGTCATGGGCTGAAGGGCAGGGAGGGAGAGGGTCTTGATCTTTAGGTGTCGGTTCGGTCATTAAGGGCACAAAAAGCACATAAATAGGAGGAACATATCGATATCATAAAAACAATATCACGATGTGTGAAGAAATTTATATATAGTGTTACAACAAGGAGCATAGTCACAATTTATAGAATGGTGTAGTAGAATACGTATAGCTCATAACTAAGGATGGCACAAACATCCAGGGCCTGATAGCGGTTTTGTCTGAAGCATCTTTATAACCGAAGAATTCCAACGAAGTTAGAGGTAAAGGGGTTCGAAAATATACTTATAAGGCTATCGATAAGTTGAGAAGAGTTTGGTTTGAGCTGGTCAGTAGTTACGAGGGATGCGTAGCGCAGCGTGCCCACTTGTGACTCGGTGCGAATGCGTGACCGAGCGCCTCCAGTCATGGTGTGTCCACTAAAACTAATGAGGTGGGGCATAAATGACGAAGACCTACAGAATTACTTATTTTGAGGAGTTATTTACCGCCACAAATTCTCCCAATAGATTTCATTTATGGCTTTTATTGCCGCAGCTCAACGTAGTGTCAAAATGTAGTTCTTGAGGTACAATAGTATAGCGTAATCTTTCCGGACGAGTACTTAAGTAACCTCGTCCGACGGTTGTAAATAATTCTGGAGTTATGATACCTAAACTCGTGACAAAATATGTCGCATTACCCGAATCTGGCGATTCTCAAACTGAACCGATTCGATAAATCCAAAGCGACACCGTTTGGCTGCAATCTCTTCGTCAAGATATCTTCTCGTTGCTTAACAACAAAAATGAGGAAAGTTTTTTCAATAGCTAGTCCAACGCTTTGCATGGGGAAACTACTTCAGGACACTGCTGCAACAGGGCATCTTATTTTGGCACCTGGTTACTTAGTACCGACATGGGTGTCTACTGAACGAGGAGATTATGCAGAGCACGATCACACTATCTTTCACTTATATGTCTTCACCATGTAGCTAAGAATCACCAGAGTGAAATTTATGAATATTGATGTTCCTGGAGAGCCAAATTTTATACCAAACTATTACACTTGGACGTATACCATATAATACATTTAACATTTTATTTTCCACCATAATTTTCCGGCACTGCACAGTTGTGTGGCACAGACACTGAGTAGGCATTTAAAAAAAGAATCACCAGACAAAAAGTCAGTCTTTAGAAGGTTGGCTTCCAAACGTTTTTTAAATTTATGGGGTTTGCTTCGTGTACTTGGATTGTATCACTGTTACTTTCTGGCGAAAACTTGTTGTCAATTTGATCATCGAAAGCGGAAGTGTTGAATACAAACTCAAGCTTCTCGTTGCTAAATTGTTCAGTAATAGGTTGTATGGCAGTTATCGAAACTTAATATTGATTCACTAGTCTGAATCGCTCTCCGTAAGTTGTAAGATCTCAGTTGTTAGAAATCAATTGTAAAAGCTTAGAGTTACCTGAAGTAAATTTGGTTTGGAACATAAGAAATAAGAGTATATGCAATTTTATACTAAAATTGTGTTGTAATCGGGATGGGTCTCTGTAGAATATGCATTTGTCGGCCCATTTTTTCTGTGGTTACGTTGTACATCCTTGCTTCTTGATGTCTGCACCAACCACGCGCGTTTAGTATTTGTGGTATTCTCATATGACTACTTGTCCCAGGCAAGCACGGGTAATATGTGTGAGTTTATCTGAGAAACTTATGGATGCTTGGAAATACCGATAGCTATAGAAGTATTTATGAATCGTGTTCTGATAACGCAATGAGGAGACGAAGTTTATCATACATGTAAATTGATAGACACAATCGGATGTGACACAATCTCTTACGTGCTGTTTGGTTTTTTGGTGAAACATCGACCTTGTCTTTTCAATAATGACAAGTTGGGCTGCATAAAATGTAGGGTTGATAGCTAATTTATGTCTCCGTTTCAACATGAGACTATTTGTGTCGCCTCTGAATGGTGATGTAATCTTGTAGTGTCTGTCATCATGTTAAGCCCAAATACCTTATTATTGTAACTTTCGGACAGCCCATTCTATTCATTATATTTGAGTCATATTCTGACCTTGTTAATTATTCTTTGTATGAGCGCGTAGGCATATGCACACTTCTTATCCCGTTACTCATCACATGTCTGTATTTATTTTTGTGTGCTTATAAGTAATGATTAACTCCTTGTTAAGAGGGAGTTGGCCTACCAGCCATCTCCACCGCGCGTCATTTTTGCTTCGCTTTCGTTTTTTCGCATAGTTCCCACAAACTGATGAGCCCGCCACCCCAGGCGAACACAACGGGCCACAAAAATCTAAACTCACTTTTTGAGTGCCAGAAGCGTCATAGGCGATTCATGAACTTCGAAGAATAACCATTATTCACTAACATATTAGTCAAGAGCTTCGTTTCGACTTCACATATAAATTTTCTTAAGTATATATGTGATCAGATTGTTCGAAATGTATTGCGCAAATATATCACATAATTCTGATAAACTTCGTCTTCTCATTGTATTATCGAAATTTATCAAAGGGACTAATTGTTTTAAAGTTTTGAGTCGTATTTCGTTAATATAATAAGATTTGGGAATATCTGCTGGACAGTCAGTTACTTCAAAACTATGGTAAAGAATGATTGTATCACATTCACTGCATGCTTCCAAAGACCTAAGACAGTTATTGAAAATTATAATGCTGGTCAAGAAAAGTCAAATAGTCTACATTAGCTGGACACTAAGGTATTGAGGATTGAATTATAAAGCAGCATTTTTTAAGAATAACGCTAAGTACGTTTGTTAGGGTAGGTCGTCATTCTTCTCCATAGCTTCTTATTGAGGAATATACACAATTCTAGACAGTTGATCATGTGTTTGTTTATCGCTTTTGATTCAGATTCTCTGTATTTACAGATTGGTTCAAAATGAGACTTGGGAAATACGTAATCATGGATTAACATCTCTCACTTAGTTTAGCTTTACCTATCACGCGTTTTGTAACTTATCTACCATTATCATTATAAACTTATTCCCATCCCGCCACTACGATATCCGTTTATCTGTTGTCCCTATACTTCTTTTTGCTCACGCTGCATCAATATTTTGTAGCTACAATTCTTTCATTAGTTTACCTCTTTGGATACTCGTCTTTTATTGAATTTTCTTCGTTCAGATCTTTTAATTTTTTAATCATGACTATGCGGCCTTCTCTCTGGTCATTTGATATACGTTCCAGAACAACCAGCCCCCAAATACCCTGGTACGGTCGAGAGTGGTGAGAGTTCGTTGTTCCTCTCCAATTGCTCTTAGATGGCCACGCGTATACAGCCAATTCCAGGGAAGCCTTACTCACTGCATTCTCGCGGTGGGGGTGTTTTTTACGAAATGAAGAGGACGATAGTCGAATGCTCGGCGCTCTAACCGGGTTAATAGACACGAAAGTTCCACCTAAGGGAGTTGGAAAACCCTGATCGGAAACCAATAGTGCACATGGTCTCCATGATCCTGAGTAAACAAATGGTTTATGAACCAGTTATTTTTCACCCGACTTCATCTGACGTTTCTCCGCTGCCTTGGGGATTAGACTGTTAGGTCAAAGGCTTAGGGTGTGCCCCCTAAGAAAACCACCTGATTTGGTTTGAGCACGCGAGCAGTATCACAGCCCTCACACAAATCGAATGCTTTATGTGGCGCATATCTATTTGGCGCCTTATTCATTTATTTATGCATTCAAATAAATAATTTCGTGATACACGGTCACTCCGATTCCAAGGTAAAAAATACCTACGAACAACTATCAAACGAATTAGAGCTATCGCAGTAAACTAGTTATACTCCTTCCTATTGGACATTACCGAAGACTTAAAACAGCACTGAGGCAATGAGAGACTATCACAGCGAAATTAACCGATTTTCATTGGCTTGTTACGGTGTTGAAATTATATGCCTAGAATACATGAACCTTTGAAGGACGCTGAAGTGAATTTGATAAAACACCTACTTGTTAGGATTATAAGAGGGTTTTAAAGGAGTACAAAGAATTAATGCTGAGATATCGAGTTTGAAGTTAGGGTCAGGGATGAGACTTAGGGTTTTCATCAGGAAATGACATCAGCTATAATGTCAAAGTGCTATTTGGTCATATGTATGAACGATTTTCGCCTCAAAATCCAAGACTCTATCGTTAATTACATTGGTCCGTCCGTAAATTACTGTCTCGTCGTCATTACATTTTTGTCAAAAAACTGGATTGGATATCAAAAAGCTACATGGTAGTCTTCTCTTGGTACACAAGTTAAATTGCTCTTGATTAAAAATCCTATCCAAGCATAGTAACCGTTGTAAATTTCGGAGGACATGAAGAGACTTCACATGGTTCGCGTGGCAATGTTGAAGACTTCGCGCGCCCTCCTGTCCCCCATCTGACCCGTCGACGATGTACGATGTTCTATCCTCCAAATGCTTTTGTTGACTCAGTCACATACAGAGAACTTTCCAGGGAAATGACCAACAGCTACATAGACTGGTTATACCAAACTTTGCAATAGTACTGTGTTGTTGAATAGTGCAGCGTAAAAGAATTAATGGTTACCGCAAAACCCCGAAAGATCCTCTTAGCGGGGTGGATAACATTAGTCTCAGTAGTTCAGTAGCACTGACTATCGATGCTTTCTTAATCCCAGAGATTTGTGTCATTCCGTACTTTTCATTATTCGGTTTAATTTGCTCATTTTATTATGTTACGTCCCATCACAACAAGTACTAGTCAACCACTTGTACCTGATTTTAATTTCTGCTCTCTGTAAAATAATGTAAAGTATGCTAGCTTAGACCAACATATATCCATCCCGTTTTCTACTTTGTCGTTAATTAACCAACTAACTGAAATATTTAACAATGTTTAAAACTTCGGACGATAAAAAAGCTGCATGAGACTTTTTAATATTTTTATCTGATTGTTGCAGTGTATAATGACTGTAATTTTTCTGAACTATCCAGACCGAATCGGATCGTTGTTTTGAGAATCTACATAGCAAACATTAAGCCTCAGTAATTAATCATATCGGATCAGTAACAATTTTTGTGTCATCTGGTTCGTAGGAACTAAATAGTTAATTAGGCATCATTCAACTCAAATCCAAGTTTATCTACTCAGAAATGTAGGACGTTTTTATTGGCGATGAGAGTCGCTTGAGTAAACATACCAATAACTACTGTTATGGAAGATTTTATTATTTGTAATAAGGGTATGTAGATTGTTAGACAAATAGTGCTGAATAATCAATGAACTCGATTGTTACGATGTGGTCGAGTAATAGACACTTATGAGATGAGATTATTGACACTAACGCCTAAATAAACTGTTCAAAACAGGAGTATCAGCTGCAAATTAGGTTTTTTTAAATAGAATTATTTACTTGTGCGCACTGTTTTTATGCAATAATAAGTATGAATAATAAATAAGAACTTTCGTCTAAATTTGAACGAATAGTTTCACAATATTTGGGCACCGAGTTAATGTGAGACATTAAAGGGGAAGGATGTATTTGTAAAATCTCAGCGAATTAATTTGAAGTAAAGTTTCCTTGGAAAAGCTTGGACCAGATTGCCAGGCAAAACGTTGGATTTACTTCAAATTCTTTCGCTGAGATTTTACAAATACATTCTTCCTCTTTAATAATAAGCATGATTAGATATTTTAACCGATTGAAGAATATCAGTTTTTCATATCACTCATTCGCCAACAAACCAACACCTGTTTAACTTAATTTTTGACTATCATATCTAGTACTACTAAGGGGTTTATGTTGTCCGGAGAAATGTTACTTCCTGGATATAATTTTCGTAGATTAAGCTATTTATGCACACTACTTCAATAACTAACCTTATCACATACATCAGTTACCGTCTTTTTTCTCTCAGTTTTCAGGGGTGTTAAATTAATCAATCATTATATTCCATAGTAAAAGTTATTCTGTTACCATTTGTCTGGTAGGTTTCACTACTACCGAATTACTTTTGGATATTATCCCATGCTTACATATTTTCACTTTCTTTATAGGTATATATTCGTTAGCCATGATGGATTCCAGAGATGAAGTTGTCTTAGCTTTGACAGATGATATGGATACCGGATCATCTTCGGACGGACCTCATAACCCATCAACACGACGCTCAGCTGTAATCGGTCATTTCCTATTTCGTTCTTCTGCTTTGATTATATATATACTATGTGCTTGGTTTACAACATCTTTCGTTCTTCCGTTCATCTTCATACTTGTTTGCTTATCACTCGATTTTTGGGTTGTAAAAAATATTTCTGGGCGAATCTTAGTTGGTTTACGTTGGTCAAGTTATACTGATGACGCCGGAGTGGTACATTGGCGATACGATTCACGTAAACCTTCACCTATAGATTCTGCTGATGTTTCTTCTCTTAGTCGACGTGAATTAGCCGCTCGTATGGCTAGACAACAATTATCTCGTTTATTTTGGATTGGTTTAATTGCAAGCCCAGCAATATGGTGTTTATTTTTCTTGGCGTCAATATTTTCATTGCATATTCGTTGGGCTTTTATCTGTACCATCGCTTTGTGTATGAATATAGCAAATGTTTATGGTTATATTCGTTGTTGGATGTCTAATATGAATGAAAGTGAATCAAATATTTTGAAAGTAATCAAATCTACAGCAACTAGCAAAATGTCTAATTTATGGCCTTTATCTCAAACTAAATCCAGTTTAAATAACACATCTGGAAGTAGTGGTCTACCACTAGTTGCCTAACAAAAACAAACAAACACACATCTCATGTATTCCTCTATACATAATGTAAAAAGAAAAAGAGACTAAGTAAATGTGTTATAATTTTGTTTAACTGTGATATAACCACAAAATTGCACATTATTTCTGATTATACATCTTACACTTCTCATTTTATCAAATATTTAATATCATAAAAGGAAAAGAAAAAACTATGGTCTAAATGTAATGTCAAACACATAGGTACTTGAAGAAAGAAAACAGAGTATATTTTCTATTGAGATTAATATAATCAATTGTTTCAATTGTGTGAGATGAATTCAATTTTTAATATTGCTTATTGTATATGTTTCTTAAATAAATAAAAATTTACTTAGTTACAGGAAGAAAAAATATTCATCAGTCTTTTAAAGGTAAAGTACTTCATTCAGTCAATAGGATTGATAAACAATCTATATGTTAGTGATTTTTTGATGATGCAAATTTTCTTTTTAATTTCAAATTATTGATATGATTATTTCCAGTCTATTTGTATTTGGGTTTTCATGTAACAAGTGTTTATTTTTGCTCTCTCTCTATTTCCTTCTATGTTACAGTAGTGAAATATGACCGGTAAGAGTAGAGGATATTCTTAGGTTACTAGTATTCGATTATAGGTGTCTTCGGAGCATTGCTCGTATATCCTGGGACCAATGAGTAAGTAATGCAGTTGTTAGGAAACGGGTACTAGGTAAAGATGGCAAATCAATTGATGAAGTAATGAAACTTCATCAGTTGAGATGGCTAGGATATGTGTTACAAATGCTCAACCACCGACTGCCCCGACGTGCGATGTTTTATGGTATGGGAGTAGGTTGGAAGAAAGCTAGGGGCGGTTAGACCAAAACATGGCACAAATTAATGAAGTCACTGACAAGTGGACTGAGACATATTAGTAGGTGTAGACTATCTGGTTGGGGTCCGCGAGACGTTAGCAACCGATGATTAGAGATCTTGAATGACATGGCTCAAAATCGTTTGCAATGGTGTGCACAATTGCATCCACTCTGTGTTCTCCCAAACTCTAATCTGAATTTTTCATCTTTATTTTCTTTTCAAATTTATTCCACTGGATTATACTCCTTAAATAACATCATCAAACCCTAATGTTCCCGATTACTGCTTATACTTTGACTACCTCTACCACTATGGGATTTGAATCGATAACTGAATCTCTGTGCTAATGTGGTATGGCAAGGTGAGCTGGTGTACGTATGTACGAAGTTCTACGTTGTTGCTGACCGACTGACTCTCCTATGTGTCGGTCTGATATGAAAGTTATCTCAGTTATTACGAAAAAATTACTTGACAATAGGACAGTATTTTCTGTAACGTTCACATTTTACCAATATTTTCTGTTAAGAAAATGAAGCATAGTGGAAGTTGACACATTTCTAAAAATAAGGTCAATTCAATATGAAATATTGACTAATAAGTGTTCATGATTTTTGTCTTGAGCGCTTCAGAGTTTACCTTGACATCTCCTTATTACTAATTTATAAGTACTCAGATTAGATTTTTCCACAATGGTTAATACTGTTCTGATGTAATTTGAAAAGTATTTACTCTGAACTACTGAATATTCTAGGTCAGTTGTTTGGTATGATAACATCACTGAGTATTCATTCCCCTCTAAAATTCAAGGGGAAACTGTTTCGTCTATTCCTGGAACTCCGTTGTAGTGTACAGGCACGGTCCCATTAGGTAAGCTTCAGGTATTGCTGTGAGCATAATACACTAGTTCAACTACTCTAACAGCTTATTTATGATACAGTGTAATCCTCTGAAATTTTCTGGCTGTACAAACCATAAGTTTCAACTCGAACTGCAGAAAGTCGATATTCGTGCTCACACCATGTAAAGATACTTCTTGAAAGACTTGGGAAGAAGCTGAGTTAGGGATAGTCTCGATAACCTGTGAGTTTGATTGCAAATCAGAGGATAGCTGCTTGAGTTGTCGCACGGACGTTTTGGTATCAGTTCCTGATATATCAGCTCCTTACTTAAAATGTCTTATCCGTTGGGCGTAGTGATAGATTCTATTTTTATGTTAACCTTTTCTAACCACCTACCGTTGTGAGAAGGCAAAACCACTAGAGAGGCTGGTTTCCTGAGGAAAATATCTTACTGCCTTCACAATCAGCTAGACGACTTGACTTTCAAATCATGTGTTTACTGCTTTTATTTTTACCATTCTATAGACGACATTCTTGAAATAGTAGAACCTAGATGGAAAATTGTTTTGGTCACCAAATAGAGATGCGAATTCGTGACGCCATCAAGATGGCGAGTAAAGCCTCTTGCGGCTTCGCGAAACGTCCCGCTTATAGGCACTGGGTTTCTTCTGGTTTCTTACAACTCATTGAAGCCCGTCGGTCTACTTCGGGTGACCGTGAGTTTGACCACAAACGAAGGATGTTACGTAATGAAATTGGACAAAGCTTGCGTAGGGACCGAGAAGCCTGGTGGTCGGAGCGTGCTAATGAGCTGGAAGCAGCAGCTGCATCTGGTAACTACCGGAAGCTCTTCCAACTCATCCGAGCCACTGGCAGCAAGAAGTCCTGGTGTGAGCGAAACAATCTGCGAGGATGACGGGATGCCAATCACTAACGTCTATCGACGTCTTGAACGATGGGCCGAATTCTTCGAAGGGCAGTTCAACTGACCTGCTGCTCCGGCAACACCGGTCAGACTGTCCTCCCCTCCATGGCCGGTGACGACTGATCCACCAAATGAGGCGAAAGTTCGCAAGGAACTCCAACTCTTGAAGCGCTACAAATCACCGGGCCCAGACGACTTACCTCCGGCTCTTTTTAAAGATGGTGGTGACTTTCCGACTAAGGGACTGACGACGTTGTTTACAAAGGTCTGGGAATTAGAGAGTGTACCAACGTCATGGAATGAGTCGATAGTTGTCCGTATCTTTAAAAAGGGTTCACGTCGTTCCTGTAACAACTATCGTAGGATAAGTCTAATTCAGATTGCGTCCAAACTGTTGGCTTCCGTTATACTTCGTAGGTTGTTCAAAACCCGAGAAAGATTGTCTCGCGAGGAGTAGGCTGGTTTTCGTCCCGGTCGAGTATGCATTGATCATATCTTCACCCTCCGCCAAATGTTAGAACACCGTCATACTTATCACAGGCCAATAACCGTAGTGTATCTTGAAATCAGGGCTGCCTTCGAGTTGTTGGACAGGACTGTTCTCTGGGATTGTCTATTGAAGAAGGGTGTGCCTGAGAAGTTTATTAACATCCCAAAAGCCCTATATACAAACACCTCAGGCAGAGTGAGAGCATACAACCACCTCTCTCTATTGTTCCATTCAAGCAGTGGGGTTAGACAGGGTTGCCCAATCTCACCATTCCTCTTCTACCTTGCCATCGATGACATTCTGGAAACAGCTCTGATGGATGTAAGTAATGGTGGTGTGGATCTGTTGCCTGGAGAAAGACTTCTCGACCTTGAGTATGCGGATGATATTGCCTTACTGTGCGAGAATGCCCAAGCCATGCAATCCGCACTTAATCAGTTGGCAGTCAATGTCCGTAGGTATGGTATGTGCTTTGCACCCTCGAAGTGCAAAGTAGTTCTACAAGATTGGCAGGATTCTGATCCTGTACTCACTCTGGATGGTGAGCAGATAGAAGTAGTCGAGAAGTTCGTGTATCTAGGTAGCTGCATAAGTGCTGGTGGTGGTGTGAGTGATGAGATCAATGCACGTATAGTGAAAGCCAGAGCGGCTTATGCCAATCTGGGCCATCTTTGGCGCCTTCGTGATGTTAGTCTGGCTGTAAAAGGTCGGATCTACAACGCGTCGGTAAGAGCAGTTTTGCTCTATGCTTGTGAAACCTAGCCTCTCCGAGTTGAGGATGTTAGACTGCTCTCTGTGTTTGATCATCGTTGTCTCTGAAGGATTGCTGGCATCCAGTGGCAACACCATGTCAGTAATGCAGAGGTTCAGCATCGAGTGTTCGGTCACAGAGACGATAATGAAATTGGTGTCACCATCTTGAAACACCGACTTCGGTGGCTTGGACATGTTCTACGAATGTCGTCCCAGAGAATTCCTCGTCGTGCATTATTTGCCGACTCTGGGACTGGTTGGAAAAAGCGGAGAGGTGGTCAGTATATGACATGGTGTCGTGGTATGAAAGAAAACTGCAAAGGGCTGGCTTGTGTTGGGGTCCAAGACATGGTGTAACACAATGGCTAGAGATGTTATCAGATAAGACTCAGAATATAAGCCAGTGGCGACCCTGCTGTAACCTTCTTTTACTTTCTTCATAAAAAGTGGTTGTTACTTCCTTAACTGAAAGATTTCTTCTGATTGTACCTTTCCGTTTCCCTATTATTATTATTATTATTATTATTATTATTATTATTATTATTATTATTATTACACTACCTTACACTAATCATTTCGTTATCGTTTTTTTGCGTTCCTTACCCTCCTCTTTTTTGTTTTTCTTTTCTGTTCAAATTCTCATTGTTTTGTGTGGCGCATATACATTTGCTGCCCTCTTGTACCAATATTTATGTGTTCAAATAAATAATAATAAATAGTGAACATCAACTTTGGGATGCAGGTACATCCAGCTGACGATTCCCAAATGGGACGAAACGCGAGTCCTGGATTCCACTATCCATCTTTGCTTAAAAAGCTTGTGACTTAAGGCTATTCGAGGCAATGCGTACAGGATGTACATATACCAATAAGAGACTGATCAATCGCAATCCTAAATAACAATGAAAAGTTACAAATAAAACAACACCAAGGTCATGGATTTCGGTGCAAAATCCACTCCTCCATTTGTCTAAATAGAGTTTCGGCATTATAGTTGATGTCAGTTTGTGATAAAAACTCTAAATCTAGTTTCTAACCCTCATTTAGTCCTAGTTAATAGGTGGAAACTCCGAAAGTCACTTTGGCGTCGCTCAAACGTCGTTCATAAATTATAATCTCACCTTCAACTGCATTTCGAATGAATATTTACCGATGAGAATGTTTATTCTAACTGGTAATAATATCAGTGAACTTGATGATGTATAAGCTAAAATTATATTATGTATATGATAGATTTCATTGATAGACAAATGAAGTAACATAACTAGTTAAACAATGAATATTGACTAGTTCACAATTATACTTTTGATTTGATGCAGGAGATTTGTAGCTTTAGAGGATAACCTTGACTGAAGTCATCAGAATAAATCGTCAGTTGTATGCGGAGAAATCCGAATACTGATGAACCTGTCTAAGATGATAGTGTAAGCTTAAGTATTGGATTGCACAGCTCAGAACGCAACTCTACTAAAATTTATGCTTCTTGTTGACTGATAACAAGTCATGCTATAATAATAAGAGGAAAAAAGAATGCTGAATTAAAATTATCAGCTTTAGCATTTCACATTGATAACTTTCAAATTTAGATGGTGCTAGATTTGAAGCTATCACGAGTTCACTTAATCTGCGAACGGGAACAAAGACTTGGTGACCAAAGACCAATAAGCTAGATATTCTGATGCGTCCCAGC